TGAAGAGCCGAGGATGTGGGAGTCCGGTGGCTGAGCTGTGGAGAGGCGAGGCGGGGTGGAAGGAAGATGCAGGGTTGGATGTAGACGTTGGAAGAAGAGATGGGGAAACTGGGGGAGCAGGGAAATGCATGCTCAGAGTAGCTGCCCATCGCCTACTCCCACCTGAGAATTGTGTTGTCAGAAGCCTTTTGGAAAGTGCTTGTAGACTTGTTGAGTTTCTGTCACCTGTTCAGGATAAACGTGCCATGAAGCCAAGTCTCGACACCCATTTCTCCGTGTCTCCAGCCTACGGAGCAGTCGTGGATCAGCAGTCGTGGATCAAACCTCTGTTTGCACAGCGTGCTTTCCGGGACGTCAGCGTGGCTTGGCTCCACGTACAGCCTCTCAGGTGAGGTTCCCCTTCGCTCCTTAATGCCAGTCCTTTGCCATTCTAAACGAGGAGAAGGGGGCACAAAGAAGGAGATGGGCCCCGGTCGGAGCAGCTTGCCAGTTACTCCCTGGCATCTGCTGGCAGAGGACTTGCTGGGAAAGGATGCTTTTGGCAAGAGGCTCCTGGGTGCTGCCTGGCTGTGATGCTGCAGCAGGGACCCGCGTGGCTTCTGAGAGTGGCTGCCAGCTGAACGTTTGCATTGGCTCCTGGTGAGTGCTGGAGGTGCGGCCCGAGACTGGCTCCTCACTCTGCATGCAGGGAACGGTGCGCTTCTCCCTACAGTTAAACTCAGTCTGACCCCGACAGCATCCATCTGGGACTGGTGTGTTTTGCGTTTCATGAGAGACGAGTCAGTCCTTAACACTTTTCCATCACACATATTCCGCCCTGGCTTACCAGGGAAAAAGCAGTGACTCTGCACCCTCAACTCCAGGCCTCCCCCTGCCCTCTGGCGTGCTGGTGCAGCTCCTAAAACACTCAGGTTGTTGGGCCAGCACGCTGGCTTTGTGCTGCCAGCCAATGCTCTCCAGCCTCGCACCTGCACTGAAACTGTGCGGCGGCAGTTTAGTCCTTCCTGGGGGACGGAATGGAACAGGACAGAGGAGACTAGACTAGGCGGTGGGGAATGGGAAGCTATCGATAAACACCCCAGACCACTGCAGCAGGTAAGCTTGGAAGGGGACCGTGTCAGAGGCGACGACCTGTCTGAACACAGCCGGGGACCTCTGGGCCTCCTCTGGCGTGTATGTCAAGGCTGTGACATACCTGGGGGCTTTGTCTCGGTTCTGGTTCTGGCAGCAGCACTTCCTGCTGTCCGTGACTGCCCGGGGGCATCGCTGGCAGGTGGGTACGTGGACCTTCTCTCTTTCAGCCCGTAGAAGGAAGGTTAGTGATTCCTGTGGTGTTAAACCTGGCCCTGCTGTACTTTCTCCCTGGAGGGAAGTGCCAGAGAGTTGCCCTTCCTGGTGTCACCATCACGATCTGTCCTTTTCCTCTCTGCAGCCATTACCAGGCCCAAGTCTTGCACCTTTGTACTTGCTTCGTTTTATGGCTTCAGATGCCGTCTCAGCCTTTGCCACCTGCGGGCACCAAGCTGTGCCTTTGAACCATGAGCCAGCTTGTGCACGTGTCCCCCTTTTCATCCCCAAGTCATTACGGACCTGGCCCACCAACCGACCGTTCTGTGGCCGCGTTACCAACCCCAGCACACTTTTAGAAAGACACTCAGCATGTTCATCATACAGACCTGACAGAACAGCACTGTAAACAGGCGGTATTTTTGGCCGAATCGCGTCTTCAGAGATGCGGCAAGGAAAATTTCTGCCTGCTGGCTCTAGCGTGAGTACCATCAGCATTGCCTAAATAATTGGAATTACCAGAAGCTGCCAGAGTAGACGCAGACCTGCTTCTCTTCTCGCCGACCTTGAGCTCAAGGTGCTAAGCCGTGACCTTCCCCTCATTTCAGCACAAAACTCTTTTCGTCGTCCGTTCACTTCTCACTGTCATGTCCTGGTTCCCAGAGCTGCAGCCATGCTGGGTTGTTTGTCCAGCCTTTCCCACACCCCAGCCATCTGTGCCGTGGTGGGAGACGGCGCTGCAGACCCGGTTGTTAGACGAGCAGCTGTGCCTTGTTTTCGTCGGGGCCGGCTCTCCCTCTCACACGTGCTGCGCTGTGGGGACAGCCTGTCTTCAGGAAGCTCCGTGTGAGGACTGGGATCTGCCCCACTTCTGCAAGAGGAGTGTTTGAGGATGGAACAGGTTGCCCAGAGAAGCTGTGGGTACCCCATCCCTGGAAGTGTTCAAGGCCAGGCGGGATGAGGCTTTGAGCAACCTGGTCTAGTGGAAGGTGTCCCTGCCCATGGCAGGGGGGTTGGAACTAGATGGTCTGTAAGGTCCCTCCCAACCCAAACCATTCTGTGATTCTGAGTGTTGGACTGCAGACGCGCGTGTAGCATCGAAAGGCCTTCACAGACACGGGGGGTCGAGTGCAGCTGTAAACGCTTTCCTGAAGAAAGCAGTGTTTCCACATATGCTTCAGCAGCTTCCTGCAATGGGATGGGTTATACTTGGAAAACCGGGACCTCACAGTGGCGTACTGCGTTGGAGCATGTTTTAACATCTGTGCAGAACGGGGAAACGAGGAGGAGTGAAGGAAGACGACAGAGGCGCTGGCAGAGCTAAGGACGTGGGGTAAGGCAGGCCAAGGCTTGCAGTGCCAGTTGCAACTAAATTACTTAGTGAATTAATGGGTTTAGTTTTGTGTAATTTGTTTAGGGTTTACAGTGCTGTATGGGAAAACAGAGGATTTAATTGCAAATGCAGATGGGACATGACAGTTTGTCTTCCTGACTCTTTTTCAAGAGTGCAGGGAAGGGAGAAAGTGTAAACAGCTCAGGAAAAACATGCACTTTACATGGCAATGGGCTGTTAGCAAAGAGCTCTGATGCTTTATTCACATGCAGCCTATCATCTTGTTCTGCTGGGGGAAAGCATCCGCGTTATCTCTTCGTTCTTAAACCCCCACAACAGTCTTCAGAACAATTTATGCAGTTTCTTCGTAATGCTGAAGTGCAGGTATTCTTCCAGAAAGCCGTGAACAATCCCAGCAGCACCCAGGGTTATCAAGCAAATTAGAACTACCAAACTCAAATAAAAACCTGTTAACCTAGAAGTGGAAAGGAGAAAAATCCTGTTACGACCTGTACCTGGTGTGCTTACAGGGAACGGGTCGCCCGCACCCGTGAAGAGGTGGAGGGTCAGAAAGGGGTCACCATGCAACGCTCCCTTGGGGTGTGATGGCAGTAAGCCATTCCCACATGTGACTTTGCTAGGGAGAAGGGAGGTGCCTAATATGCTCTCCTTAGGACAACTCTCCCCAGTGTTTCTAAATGCTCGTGTGGAAGTTAGGAACTTGCTCCAGGATGAAGCTGCCTCATCCCACGACGTGAATGCCTGCAGGCAGGGCTACAGGCAAGCCTGAGCATCTCTCTGCAGCTCTGGCTGTGGGGCAGAAGCCTTGGGGACCGGGGGAGAGGGGTGCCTGTCTCACACCCGCACCTGCTGCTCCCCGCTGAGCCGGGAGCTCTGTGGCTAGTTGTCACTTCGACTTGGAGACGGGGTGTTGGGTCGGAGAGGAGTAGTCTTGATCCTAAAATACCAGCCGTTAGGGTACTTGCTGGGGCTGGGAGAGGATCAGGTTATTTTATGTGTACAAAATGGAAAGCTCTCCCGGAAGAGGCTGCGAGAGCCCTTCAGCCCTGAACCACAGAGCTCGCTTTTCGGGCGCATGGGGGCAGGGAGCTTCCCCCCCACCCGCGGTCTCCCAGGGCCGTTCTCAGTCGCCGGGGTGCAGACTGGTCTGACAGGCGTATTCTGGGAGCTGCTGCTGGGTTGGCCTCTGCCAGCAACGCGAGCAACAAACGGTCCCTTCGGAGAACCCCGTGAGGTTAGGTCGGAGAGAGGCCTGAGGAGCTTGCCAGCCCTCGGTTTACAGCTAGCTGTCCCCACACCCACAGAGGCTGAAGAGGTTAGGGGCTTGGGCACTGCTGGGGGTGGAGGGAGCCCCCCTGGTGCCCAAAAACTTGATGTAAGTAGCTTTGCTGGGCATGCCACATCTAGGCACAGATTTGAAAATGGTGAAGTATGATATTTTTCTCAGTTTCAGGTGAGCATGACATGTCTTTTGCTTAGGCCTTCAAGTACCTGTCAGAGCCAGCTGGAGGGACGGGTGGAGGACACAACTCACTCACAAAAGCCTGTCCAGCACAGAAGGTGCTTGTTCCTGTTGTGTTCTTAAAACACCCCGTTTGGCAAATCTGAGCTGCAGTTCATGTAGGCAAGTGCACTAGTACGTGTCGTAACCAGCTCTTTGAGCACACAGACCAGGTTTGTCTTTCTAACTCTCAGGGCTGTAGTCCGCAATTATGGCTGAGAATCAGTGTTAAGACTAATCACCTTCCTGCTGCTAGGGCTGCTGGAGGCTCGTTGGACTTTTTGGGGCTGGGTTCTGCACCAGCTAGCCCTGCAGAGGCAGGCCTGGTGAACAAAACCATTTTCTGGGGCTGCCAGGCTGACTCTGGTTACCCTCTGTTCAGTCTCATCAGAGTGTAAAGCTCTGTCCAGCCACTGTTCTTAGGCCCCCCTGAGAGGCTGACTCCGTTGGCCCAAGAGTACTGAAGTAAAGCACAGGAAAGATTGCTTGGACAAAGGACTTTATAGTATGTTGGTTAAGGAGAGGTCCGTTCTGCTCTCCTTGTTCATTTATTTACACAGTTTTGCTCCCCAAACTTCCTTAATAGTTGCGAGTTTTCTGGTTGGGGTCCATTGCATCATTGGAATGATTGTTATCTCTTACTGGGAGGTGGCAAATTGTCTCCATACATTTGCTCTGGAAAACGTAGCATCTCCTTTCTTTTAAGCAACAGCTCTTCCAAAGCGGGCGAAGGATTGGTGGAGACTGCCGTGAGGGAGAACGGTAGCATCGGTACGCAAGCTATGGGAAATAGCCCTGCAGCACAGTCTGCTGCTGCTGCTGCGGGATTATGCACTACAAAACAGTCTGATTGTTTAGAAATATACACCCAGGTCTTTTGAACTGTGACAAGCATATATCGTGCTGTTCTCTTTTTATGACTGATGTGTGTGTTGGAAGAGGTCAGGAGATGGATTCAGTGGCTTCAGGGAAGCAAGAAATAAACTGTGTTTGGCTGTTTATAGCGGAGGGGTGTTCTGCCAGTGTGCCCGTGTGCCGAAGCAGAATTCATGTTACGAGCTGCTGCACACTTAACGTTCATTAACGTGTGCTTTTCTGAAGGTGTGTCCTCTTAGCTGTTGGGCGAAAGTCCACCAGCCTGCAAGGCTGCCTGTAGTGCATTTCGTACGGCTGGAGTAAAGGTCTTAATGTGACAAACCGAGGGAAGATGCAAAGAGCAGACAGGCGGGCGCCGGGCAAGCCTTGCCTGAGCAGCCTCCCCTCCTGCAGCAGGCCGGAGCTGCAGAGCCGCGCTTCCTTGTCAGAGCTCTCCGGCTCTGGTTGCCAATACGCTCAGCACGGGGTGGGCGCCCACAAGGTGAGCTTCGACCCTTTTCTCTTGCGCAACTTGTCACGCGTGCATGGCTTAACTTAGGCTCAACTGTAACAGCCAGCCCTCTTCCCGAGGGCTCCTGCTCCAGCCCGCGTCCTGGCACTCCACACACGTGTTATCCCGTTACGGTCACTGGGCACTGCCAGCCCTTGGCACGAGGCCCAGCTGCAGACCGCAGCCGGGAGCTTCCGCGGCAACTCCTTACCTTCCCTTCGCAGTCTGGACGTAACCATGGAAGTACTTGTAACGGGCGAACACGTACAACAGACCCAGGAAGGATGCTAATTCTAAGAAAGAAAATACTCATGGATAGGGAAAAAAGCAGCTGGAGAATGAAAATCTGAGGGTCATAGGCAGTTAACCACTTCGTTTATGTTTTCTAGTTGGGGATTTTCATAGCTACCCATTCCCTGGGAAGTTATCTTGGGAAGGAATCATTCCAAAGGGATATATGTATCCTTAAACATTCACTACAGGAGGCTCTTGGAATGCGTTTACAGAGAGGGGTGGGCATTGGACTGTCCGAAAAAGTCTCAAAGCACCCCCTGAAAGGGAGATCTCAAGAACTGACAGGAATCTCTACCTCCCCCTGCCCCAGTCCGGTGGTTTTCCCAGCGACAGGAGAGTAGGTTGGAGGCTGGGGCTTGACCCGGCGCTGTCATTTTGTATTGTTATGGCAGTTCATGCTAAAGGGGAGTGTTTGTTTTGGAAAGAGAATCTTATTTATGTTGTTAATAACCTGCTTTGCATTTATATAGCAGCTTTTATCCAAGGACATGAGAGAAAGCTGTACTGAAGTTAGCTTTCTGACCTCCCTGTGGGAAGAGCATAAAGTCACCTCCCTTTGATAGATGGAGCAGGGGGTGGAGGTCAGTCGTATCACCCAGGGCTAAGCGGTGCTAGTTAATTCTCTGCTCTTTCAGACCGTGCCAGTGTGACAGAGGATGGCTTTTACTGTGTTCTGGATTAACTCGTGTACCTGCGGGAGATGCTCAGCTGAAAAAATGACTTAAAGGGGAGGTTAACATAACCCTTCTTCCCTTACGTATGACAGCACGTGTCTGTGGTGCTGGTTAGCAGCTGCGACTTTCCTCGATCCTAGTGTCTGCCTACGAGCACATGCACCCTCTCATATCCAATTTGTTGACTTCATTGCTGCTACGTCAGATTTACATTGGATTTGCAGTGGAGATGGGACTCTGGCCATAAGAGGGCCCCAAAACAAAATGACTGTGTTGGAGCAAACATAGGAAATGGAGAAAGAGGAAGGCTAGTCATTCAGGAGGGAGAGGTGCAGCAGGCATGAGCTAGTTATCCTTTCTCCAGCCCACAGGCTTCATGCTTTCAAAACATTAGCCGGGGAAGGGTTAGTAAAGCAGAATGCAAAAATCAGGCTCTGTCACAAGTTCCAGCGCTATGAGAGCCCACCCCATCGCTGTTAGGAGACATCACAGACCCACCTCAGAAAGTCCAACAGAGTGGGGGTATGAAACTACACTCCGTAGTGTCTGAGTGCACAACATTTGGCCAAAAAACACCCCCTGCTAGGTGCCTGAGGAAACACCATGGGGTTTCCGGAGTCCCCGCTGCATACCTGCAGTACCGTACCCATGGCTGGAGATGCCGCTTTTACGGCTGCACTCCAGAGCTCCGTGCTATGTCCCGGAACAAACAAGTCATAGCCCGGTGGGGATGTCACTCATCTGGGATGCAAAAACCCAAAGGTCTGCCGGCTTGAGCTCCGTCTCTATTAGCCAGGGATCCAGCTACAGGGATGTGTGCTCTCACCTGAGTCTTTCCAGGCTGCAGTGATAGCTATGCTCAATGTCCTGTGAGAATTGTCCCACAATGAGCAAATAATTGTTAGCGAGAAGCATCTGGGAGCTGCTTTTCTGAATGGTTCACCCTGAAAACCCACTGAATGTAGGATGAGTGCGCCATGTACTGGCTCCTTGGTTTGCAGAGCGAAGGGAAAGCTGGTGGGGCTGTGCGAAATGCCATGACTAAGTGGGGATTTCAGCATCACCGAGCACTCTCCTAGGAAGGCTGTACTAAGGTAGTGCAGTTGAGAGAAGCCTACAGTCGTTTACCTCCTGCTAAAACCAAAGTGTTTTAAAAAGTTACGTAAAACTTCTCAGTGCAAGGTAAAAATGAAAAGTGATTACCTTCATTAAAGAGCCATCCTGCAGTCCAGAGGGCAGTCAGGAATACTGGGTAAAACTCCACAGAGTTTTGTCTGCAGAATAAATTTGGAAGAACATTAGTCTGGAAAGGAAAAGAACTATGGGTAGGGTTTTCGAGCAGAATCAGCTTTGGCCTCATTTTGTTGCCACTTAAAGTTAATTCTGTTGAATCCAGTGGGAGCACAGTCAAGCCAGCATTAGGTATTCTTAAAAATTCTCTTCTTTGTAATCTCAAATACAAACTATTTCAGATATTTTCCTGGCGTTTAAACTTAGGTAAGGATCTGGATCCCAACTACAGGGAAATAAATGGGGCAAATAATCCTAAATTAAGTGCCTGTGCCGCAGAGCGGCCAGAATTCCAGCACACGGCTGTGGTGTTAACCACTTGTCTCCATGCTCGGTATGCAAGTTTTGTGGGTCAGCATTCCCGGGGCTGCAACAGGAAGCATGGAGCCCTGCGCAGGCAGCTTGGATTGCCCTGCTGAGGCCAACTGCCTTTATGAAGGGAAGTCAGGCACAGACAGCACGCGATAGACGTTGTGGGGAGGACCGTAACATCTTCGTTTGTGGACATCATCTGTTTTCCCACCAATCTTTTGCTGGGATATCTTTTCTTGATCGTTCTGAATGAATTTCTTTTTAAGGAATTAGGCATCCTTCTACATCTAACAGATTCTGTTATCTAAGATGGTGTCTAATGTAGTCTGTATCTCGTTATTGTTCGCCACTACAGCTACAGTTACAGCAGATGGGGTTGAAATAAATACAAATATTTCTGCCCAGGGTCATTAGCTAATCACAAACAGCAGCCCCGTAGGAAAGCGCTGGTTTAGACAGGCTATTTCACTGTTACCCACCGTGAAGACACAGGTTTTCTGTGCTCGTCTCCCACCTCCCACGTGTTTGGTGTTATGAGAAGTCCAAGAGCGTACAGCACGGCTGGCTACATCCAAGACATCTGAATTCTGGAAGTTACAGTCACTTAGCTCTCAGGCCCTACTTAGGTCTGGGTAATCTGATTGTCTAGTTTGATCAGAATTTGAGCAGTGACTGCTTTAAATGAGTTGAATTTACCCCATTATCATTAAAATAATAGCTGAACCATTTGAGAAGTCATCTGCTCATTCTTTTTCCTTTTTTTTTTTTTTGAGAGCAAAGGATGCCAAGAACCGTAACGTTTTAAGATAATGTTTTTGCTTCTCTCCTGGACTGAATTGTTATTCATTGCCACTATCTTAATGATCTCCAGACTTACTGTGCACGAAATGTTCTGTCAAATTCTGGAGCTCCAGTGACAGCTGGGGGCATGACCTTGTGCTTCATTCTTGACTTCCCCACCAGCCACGCAAAATGACCTGTAAGCAAAAATAAGGGATCACGAATTACACGGTTCCTTGGCTCAGTTGCGTCCCTAATACGACAGTAATTTTTTTAATAGCAATCATTGTTCTTCAGGTCTTTCCGTTTTGTTTGACAGAAGGAGACCAGTATTAGATAAACTAGTTTTTCCC